AGGGGCGGAGCCAGGATTTTAGTTCAGTGCGGGCAAAATTTTTTCGACGACAAATGTCGAGGTTTTGGTCAGGAATTTAATGACGATAAGAAAATAAAACAATAGTACATCAATACTAAAAACGACATAATTTATATATTACACTTGTTCTTTGCGAGTTTTTATACTTTGATATCATTGTATAATAACTTCATTATTGAACCTCAATATATCTTTCTCCACATAAACAATTGTGCTATCATTCATCCACTGATCACCCAATTACTACTAGGAGTGGGAGTAATTCGAGATGTCAAATGAATCACAAATACTGGAAGCAACTCACAAAACTAGTGCAATTCACAATTTCACATAATCAATTCACAATCTCAGAATGCAATATATACTATTTCCAAATATTAGGCAACTTGAACTTGCAATCACAGATTCCCAGAGAGCCAGAACCCAGAGGCAACAATGAACTGGTGGTTCACTGGAAGTTTGTACCGCTTCGAGCAATTAAAGAACAAAGTGCTAATTTCATATGTTAAAAAAAAATATTATTACAATTTACACAAATTGAATTAACCAAAAAAAAAATAAGGGAAAAAAAATTTGGGGCTTCGCCTTTTGCTTTCTGGAATCTGGCTTCTTCTTTTGCCAGCTCGGCTGGTTGGCTTTGGCACTTGGCGCCTTGGCGGAGTTGAGAATGTAAAGTCGAAGTCAGAGATGTGAGATGTCAAGATGAGAGCCTAGAGTAGGAGATATACAATAATGGATTGTCGAAGAGGGTAAGGGAACGATGGTCGTATTGTAACGACTATCGGAGACGACGGTTGACGGAGAGGGAACGGAACGGTGGGCTTTGTCACCGGTGGAGAGGGAAGTCGGTGGCGAAGTGTGAAATCGTCACAGACAAAGTCATGAAGGGTAGAAATTTTGAAATGAATGAATGGGTTTGGGTCAAAAATTGATTCAATTGAATTTTGATATGAATGGGTCTAAAACGGGTCATTACCTTGTACAATTGGGCTTCTCTCTCTGGGCTGGATCGAGAATTGGGTTACTGGGTTAAACAAATAAACAAACCTTAAATAAAAAAAAAATTATTTTTTGGCCCAAAAGTCCAGTGCGGGCATTTTGGCCCAAAAGTGGACGTATAGTGGCTCCGCCCTTGTCCATCATGGTTTGGTTTTCTAAATTATATTTTAAAAAGATAAGTTTGGAATAATTTAGAATTTTTATTTTTGTAACAATCATTTTTAAGTATAACTCATTTCTAAAAGTGGTTTACAAGAAAATGATGTCCAAAGTGCTTATAAATTTACCATATTTTACAGGCGATTTGAAATACAATTAGATCATTACATTTCACCCATCTTCAAGACCAACGTCCGCTGTGACCCACTTTTCTTTCCAATTGGGACTCCCCATAATCAGGTTTCTACCGAAAGTAGGTCTCCCTTGGTCAGCTGGTCAAGTAAGGGCACCAACAGTTCTAATAAATCCAAACAAACAAGTCTTTCTCAGATATTTCGGTATATCATTGCATCTTAACATTGAATGTTGGTGGGCTGACTCTCTATTCTTGGCTGGTCCAATTTAGTGGTTTTGGGCCCTGCTGGGTTGGTTAATCCAATGGGTTGAAATGGTTCGGAAATGAAAAGCGTTTTTTGGAAACACGTCTTTCCTTAATAAAGGATGACTGTTGTGGACTTTACACTTGGCACTTTTGTAATCGTTGAATTGTTGATATTTTGGTGGAGTGTTAAAGTCTCTTGACTCTTCATTTTTGTCGTAATCTGAGTGAAAGGTTCTGGGGTTTTCTTCGTCTTCTCTCTGAGGGTTTTCTGGACTCTTCCGTTCTTGCATTTTTCTGAAAATAATCTCTAATCTGAGTGATGTTAGGGTTGTATTTGATATACGATCTGTGAGATTGTAGAAAACTGAGTGTTTTATAAAATAGAGACGAAAGAAAACTGAAATTGAAGTTTTTAGAAAATAGAGCATTCCCATCCATTGTCTCAAATATCAATACACTGAATCAAGTAGCCTTAACCAGTTACCCTTCTCGCTTTCTTACATTTTTTCCGAAGAAATTTTGAAAAACCGAAAAGGAAAATGGTAGGCAGATTTGGACATTTCCTATTACAGTAGATCATCAATTCGAATTCCCAAATGAGAATTGTCATTTACAACTCCTAATTCATGCCCCCATGAAAAAAAAGAAAAGAAAACATATAAAGTTTGAAGAGATCATAGGTACCACTTTTATCTTAAAAGGACATTGTGTAATGAGATATTTACCTAACTAGGAGTACAAATGTAACATCTATGCTTTTAGGCCATTGAACTACCAACCGCATCTATGTCGAGCACGAGCAGTGTTTCATACTGATGTTGCAAATTATGATATATATATATATAAAAATTTTCAGCCTGTCTTTTCAGATAGAATGGAGATGAGTTCATCTCGAGCTTTTTCAAGTGCAATCAACAATTTCTCAGGCTCATTTCCACCTGCCTGGGCAAAATTAGGCCGACCACCCCCTCTTCCACCACAAAACTTGGCTAATGGCCCTATAAACTTCCCCGCTTGAATTCCAAGATCAACCACTCCTGGAGTAAAAGCAGCAACTAAACTTACTCTTTTTTCACCTGGGCATGAGCCCAAAATCACCGCTGCTGGATCTTGCAGTGTATCCACTATATACTCTGCAGCACTCTTTAATGCATCAGCATCAATATCATCCATGCTCTCAACTAGCACCCTGGACAAAAATAGTTGTCAGAAGTGATGGACCAGGCTTGTTATGCTTCTCTCTTTAGTAACGATGTTGGACTGACTTGAGATGAGGACTGTACTGAGATGGAAGGGGTGAGGCGAGCCATAACTTCGGAAAGAGGTTGGATGCTATGATAAACTAGTGAAACTGCCCAGAATTTATGTTTGTATGAATGTCTTTTAGGCATAAATGATATGGGAAGACACTTATTCTAACCAAAAGTGTTGTGACTTGTGAGGTGATCGTCTTATGCAAATATACATAAAAATTCAAGTAATCGCTTAAGAAACTTATTGTCAGTGTGAAAATTGAAATAAGTTGGGGTCATACTTTAAATCAAGAAATCCATCTAAAGAATGAATTGATATATTATCATGGAAGAACATATTTACCTGATCTTTGTTGAAGATCCTACAGTAACTGCATTGCTAACGATGGTTGATGCTTTGTAAATGGCTGCTTTTGCGCGTGCAGCTGAAACTTCATTTCTTGCCTCTCGCAGATCTTTCAAAATACTGTTTACTCTTGTTGTAACATCTTCAGCGTTTACCTTCAAATTATTATTATTATTATTTTTTTTTTAAGTACATAACACTTCAGAAAATTAGAACAACTGATGCAAGAGAACCAGTTTTATGCAAAAACTTGTTGTACATCTTTGGTTATGCCGTGATCTTTCAGATTGAACATACATGGTTAGCTTTCTTTTGATACTTGGTGAGAAGGGTATGTCTTTGTTTCCTGGTGAGCTCCAAAACAAAGTAAACAATATAAAAAGATAAGTTTGGAATAATTTAGAATTTTTATTTTTGTAACAATCATTTTTAAGTATAACTCATTTCTAAAAGTGGTTTACAAGAAAATGATGTCCAAAGTGCTTATAAATTTACCATATTTTACAGGCGATTTGAAATACAATTAGATCATTACATTTCACCCATCTTCAAGACCAACGTCCGCTGTGACCCACTTTTCTTTCCAATTGGGACTCCCCATAATCAGGTTTCTACCGAAAGTAGGTCTCCCTTGGTCAGCTGGTCAAGTAAGGGCACCAACAGTTCTAATAAATCCAAACAAACAAGTCTTTCTCAGATATTTCGGTATATCATTGCATCTTAACATTGAATGTTGGCGGGCTGACTCTCTATTCTTGGCCGGCCCAATTTAGTGGTATTGGGCCCTGCTGGGTTGGTTAATCCAACGGGTTGAAATGGTTTGGAAATGAAAAACGTTTTTTGGAAACACGTCTTTCCTTAATAAAGGATGACTGTTGTGGACTTTACACTTGGCACTTTTGTAATCGTTGAATTGTTGATATTTTGGTGGAGTGTTAAAGTCTCTTGACTCTTCATTTTTGTCGTAATCTGAGTGAAAGGTTCTGGGGTTTTCTTCGTCTTCTCTCTGAGGGTTTTCTGGACTCTTCCGTTCTTGCATTTTTCTGAAAATAATCTCTAATCTGAGTGATGTTAGGGTTGTATTTGATATACGATCTGTGAGATTGTAGAAAACTGAGTGTTTTATAAAATAGAGACGAAAGAAAACTGAAATTGAAGGAACTGTGGTTTCTTCATACATTTTTGTATCGATTCTTTGTGATTTTTAGTGGATTCGAGCCTAATCTACTTTTGTAGATGCTCAACGGGTGAGTAGGCCTTTTGGCTGAACATCCGAGCCCTTAGGAGCGAAAATTCTTGTGTTATTTACATTTCTGTAATCCTTTAAAATTGTTTACTGCAATCGTTTTTTGAATGAAATGATAATCCTGAGACCAACATTGAATCAACAATTTCTTTTCTTTTCTTTTTGTTTGTTTTTAATTGAGAATGTTATTGAAGATTAGAAGGTGAAATTCAAAGAAAGAGGCAGGCGAAAGTGAAAAACCACCATCCATTTTAGAAAATAGAGCATTCCCATCCATTGTCTCAAATATCAACACTGAATCAAGTAGCC